CCTGGAGAGGGTTAAACTGGGCTCCTCTCCTTGGAGGCAAGGATTCTGAGGCTTCGTCTAACATACTTTGGACATGTTGTAAGGAGGGACCGGTCCTTGGAGAGGGACATCATGCTTGGGAGGGTGGAGGGACAGCTAGGAGAGGAAGGCCCTCTATCAGGTGGACTGATTCAGTGACTGGAGTAATCGGGATGGGTGTATCGGAGACAGTGCGACTGGAACAGGACAGAGCAGAGTTTAGGGCTGTTGTACATAGGGTCATTACACGTCGCAAGCAACTCGATGGCACCTAACAACAACATATATTTTTACACTACATATTTTTAAATTCTTAAAATGTAAAGACTTGAAGTAGGTCTTAGCAAGTAAATTTTTCCAGTTCTTTTAAAATAAAATTTGGATTTCAGAATAACTATAAATTTACAGAGAATTTTCAAAAACAATATAAGAAAGTTCCCAGTACCACTGACACTGTTCCTCTTACTAGTACCATTAGTACATCACTATTAACTGCCAATTTCATTGCCTTTTCTACTGATTTCCTTTTTCTGTTTCAGAAATCCATGATGAATGTGTTGCATTGGTCACCATTTCTTCTAACTCTCCCCTGGTTAGTGAGATGTCTCAGCCTTCACTTTGTTCATTTACACAGACAATTTTGTTTTGGGTATTTTGTGGACTATCCTTCTATTTGGGTTTGTCTGACAAACATCTGAACAGGCTAGGATTATGATGAGACAAGCATTACAAGTTTTATGTAAAGTGCCTTTCTCATCACACATGCTATCAAAATGATGTTCAATTTGATCACTTAGGTAAAAGTAGTGTTTACCAAGTTTCTCATTGTAAAGTTACTTCCTCTAACCCTCATTACCTCATCTTACTCTAATTCTTAAGAAGAGCGTCACTAAAACTGAACTCACTCAGGGAGTGAGAGGGAACTAAGCTACACTTCTTGGAGAGAGGAGGGAATAGGGTAGGAAATATGCATACATTGCCTGGGAGTATTTACATAAATCACTGTGAATCATTAGCAACTAGATGGCACATAACAACAACAACAACAACATCTACATAAAATTTTTTATTTGGTCATTTTTATATGAGCACAAACACACATATATTTGACTATGTTATCATTTTGTGCTTGTCTGATTGGATTTGGTGGTCCCTGTCGCTACTTGACTTTTTTTTTTTTTTTTTTGGTTTTCTTAGCATGTTCTTACTTTCTGGCTCCCTTCCTTCAGCCCTAGAAGCCAACATTTCTAAAAAAGCAAACAAACAAACCAACCAAAAAAAACCCCTTGATTCTTTTTTGCTAGAAAATTATATGTAAAAACTGAAATCTAGATATTTGGTTTGATTATTATTTCTGAGTTATTACTGCCTGTATGTCCCCAGCAAAGAGAGCTAAGAACAGTAGGTATACAATCAGACAGGTATGCATACACAGCTACGATAATTTCTGTACTCTATGCATCTGTATTGTCTGTCAACTTAGTGAGAGAGAAATTATTTTCATTGCGTAACAAGAATATTTAAACAAAAAAGGCTAATTAAATTCAAGTTATTGAAGTAATAACATACATATACTAAAAGCCACACTTAAAGAAATGAAGTGCACATGGGTTTGGATGGAAAAGGACATGTCGGACTTTTAGGGCTGCTGAATTTGAGATGCAAAAGAAATGGTTGAATTTGAGACCTAAAAAACCCAGAAAACAAAACCTAACTGGAAATACCAAATAATTAACAAGAACTCATTAGCTAAAATCTGAGATGAAAACTGGCAGTCATCTCTGCTCCAGTGATTAACTAAGAGAGTTTTAAGCTCTCTAAATGGGAGAAGAAAAAACTTAAAAGTTTTGGGTTTGTTTTTTTTTTTAAATTACCTTTGAGGCCTATTTTGTCTGAGGACAACAGAAATGTTTAAAAACGGTTTTGTTCCCACATCAATGATCTCAGAGTGCACAGGGCAGCTGTGTATCTTAGTATTAGCTTTACGTTCAAGCTATTAAAACAAACAAGACCAAAAAAGCAAAGGGGAGAATCTTTTCTCTTATGTAATAATGACTTCCTAACAATCTCAGCACACATCAAACCATCTAGTAAACAAAATGGGATATTTGTGATTTGTCTGAATATAACCTGGGTTCAGAGAGTAGACTGGATAGAGATAAAATATTGATCATGAGCAGGATGTTATTTATGTACAAATTTCGTAATACTGTTTTCTGTATGTTTACACATATTTGACATTTTCTATAACACAATGTTAAAAATCAGCAAGTCTAATTTCTTTATTTTTCAAATTCAGAAAGGGAGCATCAAGAGTGCTTAAGTGATACGCTATCGTTGTGTGCCATGGAGTCAAAACCAACCCACAACTGACCCTCTGGCGGGTTTTCAGAGGCAGCTAACGGCTCCTTGTCACTAGGCCACCACTGCTCCCTAAATGATATGTCAGTGAGTGTAAATGTGAGTATTAAGCTCTTGGTTAGTAAATGAAATAAACAATGATTCAACTCTATCAAACTAAATTGCAAATCATGCTCTAGAAAAAGCGGAAAAGAAAAAGGAAAGCATGCAATTTATAGATCCTGATTACATAAATCAAGTAGTCAAGTGCTCACTGAAGATTTAATAAAGCAGTAACAAAGATCAAATCCTTACCACTCCAATGCCTTCAAAAGCAAACACAGCAGTACCAAAAAAAAGTGGGTATTTTTTCCAACCAGCCACCACTGGAAGATTGTGAGGATTTGGCATATTCTGGAGAAGAAAAAAAGACGTAAGATAGGCTAAATCTTTACTACTTTAAAAAGTTTAGAATGAAAGAACAAAATTATACACTTCTTAACTTCTTAACTAGAAATAAAAATGTGCATTATAAAGGGAATTTTTTAATTCACTTTTTATATATACACTGTAAGCAATCTTATGTTAAACCAAGTTAAGCTGTAAGGATTTCACTGCCAAATACAACTGTTTTCCTTATGACTATACATTCCATCTGAGCCAAATGTTCCTGAATTCCTGTTTCAACCTTCAAGACCCAAGCTGTTCACAGGAAATGCACAAGCATTCTCACGGTCTAAGTCAGTAGTGAAGATTCACACTGCTGTGTGCGCCCATTCTGATTCTATGTGTATTGCTCTTTCAGGTTTATGCTACCTGGCTCCCTGCTTTGGCTTTCTACCTCACAACTCACTGCTCCCTACTACATGCATCACCTTGACACCTTTGACTTTGATTACACAGTCCTCAATCAGCCTTGTTCTTATTCTCACTACCTGGACAAACTCAGAACACTGTATTTAATTCCTCTGGCACCACAAGTTGCTTTGCCAGCTATCCCAAGTCTGGTCCGTATTCTCCTCAACATTCTATTATTTTTGCCTCATGTGACTGAGAACAGAATTCAAGACCAAGTGAAAAGACTGAGCAAAGCAGATGAGGTCGAAAAGGCCATGGGTAACTGGGGAGTGTACAGACTCTGAAAGCCCGTCAAAGGGTCAACTATGAATCAGTCCTAATTCTAAGTACGTATTTAAATAAGAGAAGTCTAGAACATCTGAAGCTCAAGTAAAGCTGTTGTTGTAAGTGACTCTCAGAGGGTCTCAATAAACAACGAATCAGAATGTGGTCCTATCTGGCACCATCCTCACAATCTGCAACAGCTCCAGCCCAATATTACAGTCACTGTGTCTCACAGGTAAAGAGGACATTAATAGTCATGCACAGCTGAAAATATACCCAAGAGGAAGAATGCAAAGGGTATTAAAACATCTGGATCACCGAACAACACTGTCAGGTTGTCTCTGAGTCAATTTTAATGAGCGGCGACAACGCGACAGACTGCCCTACTGAGTTTCCTAGTCTCTAACTTCACAAGAGCAGATGGGCAGGTCTTTTCTCCCAGGGAGCCTCTGCATGACTTCAAACCAAATAGGCATTGGTGAAATGTGATGTACTGGAATGGACCATTTCGAATCAGACAATCACATGATCTACACCAGAAATGAAAAGGTGAGGAAAAACAGGGTCGCATTAATAGTTATAAAAAGAGCACTTTCAGATCCATCTTGAAATACAATGTTCTAAGAGATACAGGATAATATCCTTACGCAAACAAGGAACACTTATTAATACCATCATCATCCAAATATATGCACCACCATCGGAGCCAAAGAAAAAGAAACATGATTTTACCAACTTCTGGAACCAGGAACCAATCGAACATGTAACCAGGATGCACTTAGTAATAATGGGTGACTGGAATTCAGAAGGTGGGAATAAAGAAGATGATCAGTAATAGAAAACATAGGCCTGGTGACAGAAATGAGGCCAGAAACAAAAATGATAGACATTTGTACAGTCAAAGATTTAGTCATTCCAAATAACTTTTCTAAAGAACATAGAAGACGACTATACACATGGACCACACCTGATGCACAGATATCAGATCGGTTACATCTATACAAAGAATCACTGGAGAAGCTCAATGTCAGCTGGGAAAACTAGGCCAGGTACTGATTGTGCAACAGATCATCAACTACTCATATGCAAGTTCAAACTGAAGCTAAAGAAAATGAAATCAAATCCACAAGAACCAAAATATGACCTTGATTCTCGGCCCCTGAATCAAAACCACTGTCTCAAGTACAGATCTGAAGTCTCAAACTCTAATGATGAAAGACCTGCTGAGCTGTGAGAAGACATCAAGTACATCATCAATGAAGAACGCAAAAAGTCATTACAAAGGAAAAGACCAAGATGGATGTCAGGAGAGACTGAATATTGCACTAGAGCGCCAAGAAGCTAAAGCAAATGGAAGAAATCAGGAAATTAAGGAGCTAAACAGATTTCAAAGGGCAGCTCTGTATTACAATTACATGTGCAAAAAGCTAGAGTCAGAAAATTAAAAGGGACAAATTTGAGCGCACATAACCAGATCAGTTATTTACCATGCACTTCGAACTCTTTTAATAAAAAAATAATTTAAAAAAAAACCAACAACAAAAACCAAACAAACTTAGAGGAAAAAAAAAGCTAGACAAGTGGCTTGGAATTCAGGGACAAGGGAGAAAATTAATCACAGGTCTACTTTAAGTGAGTATGTATTGAATTCCTTGTGGAGATTTCTAGAACAATTTCTTGGAAGCAGTATACAAAACAGACTGGATCTAGAGCGAACAGAAGAAAAATTCCCCCTTTTTTTTTTAAGTTGGTGGCCTCTTGGAGGGATGAAAGCTACACTGCTGTTCAGCAGAAAAATTTTTTTAAAAAACCACAACAATGGATGTATATATACAGAATATTAAACTGCAAACAATTTAAGAGATATGCTACCTCATAAAGCCCATTAACACATTTTTCTCAAGAAATTGGTTAAGAACCTCACACTACGCACAATAAAATCCACTTACGTTATTACATAGTTCAGATAAAGAGGTTACAAATTGCTCAGTGGAAGTGGATTCCAGTGGTGGCTCAAATAAAGCATAAAGAAATTAAAAGAAAATTACAGAATGGTATCAATTCAACTCATCTCCTATGGATGATTCAAATCTTCAACAAATAAAACAACTAATGACTTGGAGCACAATCCTAAACCTCCCAGCTCTAACAGGGGAGGGATGTCTACTTTCTGAAGCTCTATCTCAAAGCCCACAAGCATGTACTTACCAAATTCCACCACCAGACCAAATCACAAAATCTCTGCTATTAACTTCTTCATTCACATTCTCATTTAAAAAGTACCCTCCAAAAAGAAACCATTCATCTATTATGTGTCATATGTCAAGTCTTTACATACTATTAATTTTATCTCCCAAAAAAATACAAGTTTTACTAGTGTAAGAAACATACATTCCTCAGTTCTGTACTTACCTTAATGATGTACTGGTAAATTATCACAAGACTGACAGCCATGGAAATGTTGGCAAGGAATGAAAGTACAAATAGATTCTTTAGGTCACGAATGAACACCAGAAGAATTATAAATGGAAGAAAGCAAAGCATATATATCCTTAGATCAATACTTCTTCTCTCATTTGAATGTGATGCATAGGTACTGTTGAAAACAAATGCTTTACTCTCTAGAAATCCTTCATGAACCTGTACAGGAATATAGGGAGAAGGAAGAAAAAGGAAAAACCTCCATGAAGTTACAAAGCACATACTGTGTGATTAATTCTACAATCAAAACACTTATGTTTTTCTAAAATTCTCTTGCTTCCTAAGAAGAACATATATCATAAAATTTAACGATAAACAGGATAGTCTTCTTTGCAAAATAACTTATTTTGTGCTGTGAAATAAAGTTTAATAGAAGAACATGAGAATGTATTTACTAATTTATTTTTTTAGTTTTAGAACTATCAATCAAACCATGATACCTACAACAAATGGATCAGCTTCCAAAATCATTAAAGTTGGAAGCATAGTTTCTAGAGTTAAAGTTAGGTATTTTACTATAATTTCTTTTCTTCAGAATAAGAAACAAGCTTTAAGTACTACTCAGAACCATATAATAGTAAAAACAAAATTTAAATACATTTTATTGAGAATTTCTATAATAAATTATTACCATGAACAAGAAATATTTATTATTAATCCAGTAATTCAAGTATAGTTACATGCTTTGAAAGCAGATCAATATTTACTAGAGCAAAAATATTCTATAAGACACATCAACTGACACCGAAGTTTAATTAGCCATCTCTACAATCCATTTTCACGAGTGACACAATGACTCAGGCACCATAGTTAAAAATATCTCTGACTTAATAATAATCCAGTTTACTCAAAGAGAAATAAAATTACAAATCAGAAACAATCTTGAAAATTACTAACAGTAATAAATCTTACTTGCATTTAACTATCAGTGATGACTTACACATTGCAACCTCTTTCAAATACACTGACATTATCAAGACACACAAAATCCTAAGAACCAGGTATCTTAGTAATAATACCTAGTATTTGTTTAATCACTTCCTATGTGCAAACTACTGCTTTATATGCACCAGACACTGCCTTAATAAAACATCTCATTTAATCCTAAAAACAACTCTCCGGATTGAGTTAATTTCCATTTATAATTGAGGAAACTGAAGTTTCAAGAGAGAAAATAATTTTTATAGTATCAAGCGAGTAAGTGGTGGTTCTAGGATCCAAACTTAAGTCTGAAACTATAGCATCCAGCTTGTAACAGCTATATATTAACCCCAAAACAGGGACCTTATTCAGGTAGCCACCTGTACTGTGCTATGTTGCCTCTCTAAATGTTAGCATCAAGAGGGCAACAAATCAAAAGTTTAAAATAAAATTCCAGTATGATTAACTGTATGTTCCTTTTCATTTTACACTTAAACAGTATTTGTACCACCATAAATGTACACATCACCTTGGATTGCAGGGAATGTATGAATAGATCTACTAGATTTTTAAGCTACATAGGCAATTCACTGGAGTAACAAGCTATACTATGCATGATTTTTAAAACTGTTTTATTTATCTTATAGTTGGTCATCAAAAATTATTTTTATATTCAAACAAAACTGACAATTCACATTTCTTGGCTTTAAAGAACAAATTTTAAGTGTTAACTCAATTTTCACTAACAAAACTACTTAGTCAAGAATTTCTGATCAAAGAAATATCTACAAATAATTAGATAATTATCATAGCTGAGCTCTAACAAGGATATGTGACAAGAAAGGCAGTTACAAAATCAGTATTTTTTTAAAAAAATAGCTGAACTTGGAAATTTAAAACTAATTTTATTGCAAGTATCTCATAATATGTTAGCATATCTTGACAGAAAAGTGTTTAGAAAACTTTTCGGAATTGAAAAATAAATAAAACAAAAATGTAGATACATACCTAGAGCAAGATTCAGGTAAACATTTGAGTCCTTTGGTGCCCTCTAGAGACAGAGAATGGCTAATAGGACTTCTATGATCTCACATGTTTACCAAAATGTAAAACACTGAAATAAATATTATAAAATAAAATTACTAAATTCAGTTGCTTCTACTGAGAGCTCAAACTTAGTAAATTCCATTACTCATTTAATTCCAAAGGCAGTTCTTTGGCAAAGCTAAATGCAAAACTAAAGTATCAGTACCCTACATTTATATGTACTGTTTTACACTTTACAAATGTTGTCACACTTTTGGTAAACTCAACCTCAAGTTTAATGGTAAGCTAGGGAAGATTTTGTTATTATTCTCCTTTTACAAATAAGGAAACTGAGGCTTGACCAGGGTTAAGATGGTCTTGCCCAATGTTTAATACCAACTCTGATTGTCTGACTTTGAAGTCCAAGGTCATTGCCATCACTACATTTTTATCCCTTTTACTGTAATATCCCTTTAACACATTCATGTACACTGTTGCATCTAGCTAGAATTTTCAAGACTATCTTATCTTAGAACAGAGAAAGGAGCTACCAGAATCACGATGGTCAAGAATCACAGGGAACACTAAGTTCTAGAATCTAGAGGGATGTTTGAGGGAGCTCTTGCAGTAGTATACCCAACAGGAATTTGGACAGCTGACAGAAAGGCAGCATCTCTTGGGCAATTCAAATCCACCAGCAGTTCCAAGAGGGGGAGATGGGCAATCTCCTTTCACATCATTTATGTTCTCCAGAAAATCTGCTGGAGGGCCAGGTAAGAGTTGGTTCAATTTGATGACAATGAACTTATGGTTCCCCTAGAATTGTCTGTCCTGGCTTAATGAGATGAAGAAAAGTCATGTGGCCAGTTGAGAAGCAAAAGCATTCTACATATGCTTGGCAACTAGACCCTTGATTCTCTGGGTTGATGAAATACTGCACCTTCAATTTCACATATATTAATGTGGTAACATTTTTAACTACATGTAGTAGCAACTGACATGGCTTAATCAGCCAGCATATATCCTATTAGGTACTTCTGTATCAAATGAAAGAGAACACCTCTGCTTAAAGAGTGAATATCCGGTTTCATGGCTTCAGCAATCATCTCTCTCTACACTCAGGGCATGAGTTCAACTTTGATTTCTTAAGCTGCAACTGGAGTTCTTTTCCTATTCCCCTTGGTCCACATCATAAGTACTTTACTATTTCTTTCTCCTTCGTGAAGCATTCTCATCTCCCAGAAAAATCATTCTTCCTAACTGATCTGCTCAGGGTGTGTGTAGATGAGTTAAACTTCTCCTTTTAACTTTGGAACATAGTATTTCACAGGAAAAGTTGCTAATCCTAAGCTTATAGGCATTTCTTTTATCCCAGCACTATAGTCCATGGAGAGGTGTGCTGCTAGCCCAAAGGTCATGCCTCTCTAACAGTTCAAATCCCCCAGCAGCTCCAAAGGAGAAAGATGGGCCACTCCTCCTGTGTGATTTCAGCCTTAGAAACTCAATGCAGGGTCAGCTGGTAGTCATTTCCCACTGGATGGCAATGAACTGGGTTTTCTTGCTTATATCAAACATAACACACACACAACTAGAACAAAACTATATCCTCCCTAGGGATGAACAATAAACATATATGGTAGAGACCAAAGTTTCAGCTCAGTTGTACGTGGCACAGGACAACACATTACTCATGCTTTGTGAGACTCAGTTTCCTCATTCATATAGTGAGCATAGTACTTACTTCACAGAATAGTTCTAAAGATTAAATGATTTATGGTAAAGCTATATAAATTAAGACTATAAGGCATTATTAGCATCAGTCATAAATTCATAGGCATATCAGCAGCTCTAAGGAAACAATAAAAAGACAACAGTATTATCGGGGTGTACAACTCCCAAAGGCATCATTCCCATTGTCTTCTGTGTAAATAAAGGACTTGTAAAATGCTATGACTCTATGGCAAGAGTCTTAGGGACATGCTATTTATGAGATTAAACACAGATACAGTATCAAATGCACATCATTCATAACGGGTAATGCTAGTGAAATCACTGAAGCTTTATTTTGATAAATACAAAAGCACGAACAGACTAATTTATGCTAATTAACTCTTAATTGCTTGCTAGTCTTTCTTTTTTCTTTTGCCTGCTTCCTCTCTACTTAATCCTACTAGTTATTTGCTTTATTTACAGTAATACTGTATTTAAGGGAATATCTGTACATAAAGGAAGGGATATAGTTGAGATGATTTTTTTTTTTCTTCCAGAAAAGCTTGTATCAGAATTGGTTTACGAGTATCAAGGAAAAGAGAAGAAAAGATAGTTTGGAAGGAGGATAATATGGAGACAGATGTAAGATAAGACTTGAAGAAGAAAACAGAGTTGACTGAGTGAGACTCTATGATCTAGACAGTATCTAAGAATACCTCGGCTAGAAATGCCAACAGTCATAACGCTAACATTTGTCATCCTACCTTTTATAGAAGCAGAAAGGAAAAAAAATATAGTTATGAGTATGAGAAACCAAACTAAAACCATCACCATGAGATAACGAACTATAAACAAGAGATAAAATGGAGATAGGAAATTTGGACAGGAGGAAAGCAAAGAAAGTGACAGAGGAGAAATCAAGTAGAAAAGTTAAAACCATCTGGACAAAAAAAGTATTACGCATTTGTTCAATATACCAGATAAAAGACTAAGTTCAAGAATTGTCTGAATAAAAAGAAATAATCCTTCCCAGTCTAGTGAATAGGGGTCTCTGATGGCCTAGTGGTAATGAGCTGTGTTGCAACCTCAAAGATGGTTCACATCCACCAGCTGCTCCATGGCAGAAGGATTGACAATCTCCTCTTGTTCTATTTTCTGCTGCTGAAAACCCACTGAGGGGTCAGCTATGAGTTCGTTCCAACCCAATGGCACATAACAGAAGTCCAGTGGATTAATTTCCCTTCCAGTTCAGTAACTACTGAAAACCCTAGTAACGAATATATGCCAGGCTCCCCTAGGTGCCAAGAGAATACAAAATATGTAGTCAGTTCCTTCATGGGCATGCAATTTAGTGGGAAATTTAACTTTTAAATTAATGCTAATCAAGAATGATCAGGGCTGTTTTTAAGCACTACAGATAAAGAATCAATAGGTTCTGGGGAAAAAAAGGAAAAAAAAATAGGTTCTGGAAAGGGATTAGGAAGAGGTAGAAATGCCAGTTAAAGAAGGTTTCACAGACTAGAGGGCATTTAAGTTGGATGCTGAACTTTTCCAGATACAAACAAAACTTTCCCAGATGATGGGACTAAGGGAATATACATAGTAAACTACAAAGAAAACTGGAAATACAAACTCTGGTAACTAACTAGGTATGGTTCTTAAAGAGAACTCTGTAATTCATAAAAGAGGGCTAAATTAGATGGGTCCTTCAAATGTTAAAATTCTAAGCTAGTGGCTCAAATAGAAAATACAGGAATCATCTCAACTATACAAATCACATCCAGTCTATCACTGCTTATAAATAAAATTTTACTGTAATATACTGTAATATAGCTACGTTCATAGCATGGCTATGAGTTGTACTTGACTTGAGGGCACCTAACAACAACATTCATTTATTAATATCTATGACTGAGGTGAACAGTTGCATCAGAGACCACAATACCTACAAAGCTGAAAATATTTGCCACCTGCCTCTTTACAGAAAATTGTGTCAACCTTTGCTCTACATACAAAATGAATCATACTATGAGTCAAATATTTACTTATATATTGTTACATATAGGTTCTTTTGAAAATGTGTTCACATCACCATTTCACATGAAAAGAGCCAGAGATCAGCACTGTACTTTACTATGCATCGTGCTTACTATTGCACTATACACATATGGATGATAAAGTTGTTGATGAAAATAATCATTAAAGAAAAAGAGAGAATAACTTAATAAAAACAATCTGTTACCCCCACAAAAAAAGTGTTTGGGCAATATTTTAACTGGAGGAGCTTTGACTTCAGTTGTTTTACCTGCCAAAATAGGCTGTTGGTCTCTTGGTATCATTTTTAACAGCAGCAGCATACCATTTTAGTACTGCTCTCATTTTTATTTCCCTTTTTAGGCTGCAGGCTGAAGTCTTAAGAATTTCTTTTAAGTATACTGACATAAAGAATATATTCTCAAATATCATGTCTACTTGCTTTTGAGATCTAAATTTCAAGCATTTAAAAATTAGAAAATTACATTTGGGTCTGATTTGAAAGAGCAGGAATTATTGATATGGCAAGGTCAATAAAATCAATGATAACAGCAGAAATCAGCTTACAAGAGAAAAGATGGAAGGGACGTCTTCATATACAAATGATCACCATCTATGAAAAGAACAGGCTTTTGTATTCAAACATGGTTCCACTGAGGAAAGAGAATACCCCAGGTAAGGCATGAAAAGAAAGTCATTGTAATAACAGGACAATACTCACTTGCTTCACATTTTCAGCTAAGAACACAATATAAACACTACAGAATCCCAGCTGTGTTATCACCAGAAAAAAGTCAACCACACTTCTGAAAAAAGATACACATGAGTAAGTATCAATAAGGACTAGTGAATTTTCAATATATTTCATTTCTCTTATTAATGTCTTAAAAAATCATATAATGGTATATATCCTTTTCCTTTCCCTAGAATAAGAAAACCCTTTAAAATATGTATTTTCTACAAAGATCCACATTTTTTATCCACTTCCTAAACAACATGCCTCCAGACACTCTATGAACTTTGATAAATGTTGATAGTGGTAGAGGGGCTTCAGGTCTTTTGTTCATAGGGTTGCTGTGAGTCATGCTCAACTCAAAAGCAGTCAACAACAATAACAGACTACTAGAATTATTACAAAGCAAAAGGATGTTTTGTTAAATTAAAAGGCAAGATTTTCACTCATTCATCATGGCTATGTTAAATGGTTTCATAAAACATTTCATCTTTTAGAGTAAGGCTATTTCTCTCATTTCTCAAGATTGCATTCTGATTAATCCAGTATATTCCTCATCTCTCTAATCTCATGTCATTTCTCAAATATGATGAACATGCTCTTTACTACTCGATTACTAGTAAGAAAATGGAATAGGACAGACCAAGGAACATGGTCCAAAGAATATTACCAGACATTTCTTCAGTAGTATTTTGTTATTTTTTAATGAGATACTCTAAAAAATTTATGCTATGTAAAATAATGTAGGAAAAAGATAACATCAGAGGCATCAGTCAATTTAGCATTATTTGGTTGTGAAGATTTAGCGAGTTACACATGTGCTTTCCTGCTATGAATACATAGCACAGACTTCTCCATTTTATTCTGAGAATGAGTGACAAAAGCAAGCTACTTTATTCTTTTTTATGACCTTAAAGTCAAGCTGTCAAACTATCTAATCTACAAATATAGATTCTCTTCCTCTCAGCTGAAACTGGAAGGGCCTTGCTTCACCTTCACTCTTGTCATATTGTCATAATGCTTCTATTCTCTAAGCCTTCAGAGTTCTTATTTGTAAGTTATCTTGGTACCCTGATACAAATCTTTTCTTTGATATCTGGCACTTTAGATTTTTATTATTTCTTCACCTACCTTTAATTTTAGTGTCCTTTCAAAATTCATTCTGCCCATTTCAAAATGGTCAAAAGCCATTTTTCATGATAAAAAAAAATAGATTAAGCTCTCTTTAGGACAAAAGGAGAGACAAGATGGGATTCAAAAGTGGCTCAATGACTTGGCCCCACATGGAGGCTAAGGCTGAATGAAGGGACTGACAGGTCTGGAACACAGAAGTGTGGACTCCTGAGTTTGCGGCTGATGCTCATTGGAACCTAGCCACAAATGGCTGAGGATGACAAGAACCCAATCAGATGGAGAGATGATCCACGCTGTGAGCTAGTGTTGACTGTTGCAATCTGATGGCTTTCTCTGGACTTTGCATATGAACAGAAGACTGTTCAGCAAAAGAGACAAGCATGTGGTAAGAATCTTTGCTACAATCCTGAAGTCATGTGGTTTGAATCCACCAGCTGCTCTGACGAACACGGACGGGCAATCTCCTCTCGTGCGATTAACTACCTCTGAAAACCCACTGGAGGGTCAGCTAGGAGCAGTTCCAACTCGATGGTACACAACAACAGTAACAACAAAGACTCGCTTGATAGGTATGGGCAATCAGAAACTGGCTAAAATAGGGATAGTGCGGAATGAAGCATGAATAGCTGGCTTACATTCACAAATCTAGTTTTAAGTAAGATGATCGTAAGGGGTAAAACCTCACAATATACGTGAACAAAATGTAAATGAAAGATTGTAAAAAATACAACATACACGCATGAAACAACAACATTTGAATGAATGATTGTATGTTGCTGTTGTTATGTGCCATTGAGTCGCTTACGACTCACAGCGACCCTATGCACAAAAGATCTAAATGCCGTTCTATCCTGTGCCAACCTCGCCGTCTCAAACACACTCATTCCCACCACTCCACTCACAGAATCGATCCATCTCATCGAGGATCTTCCTCTCCTGCACCGTCCCTCCACTCTCCCAAACATGATGTCCCTCTCCAAGGACCAGTCCCTCCTTGCAACATGCCCAAAGTATGACAGACGAAATTTCAGAATCCTTGACTCCAGGGAACATTCTGGCTTCACCCTCTCCAGGACCTGTTTGTTCTCCTAGCAGTCCATAGTATATTCAACATTCTTCTCCAGCACCACAACTCAAAGGCATCAATTCTCTTTCTATAATTCCTATTCACTGTCCAACTTTCTGATGCATAGCACGTAATTGTGAAGACTATAGTCTGGATCAGGTGCACCTTAGTCTCCAGCCTGTTGTCCTTGCTCTTCAGTACTCTTGAGAGGTCCCTCACAGCTGACTTTCCTAATGCAATTCATCTCCTGATTTCCTGGCTGCTGTTAGCAAGAGTGTTGACTCTTGTGGAGCCAAGTAAACTAAAACTGGTAACTATCCCAATCTCTTCACCATCCATACTGATGCTGCCTACTGGCCCAGTGGTGAGAATCTTTGTTTTCTTGATGTTGAGCTTAAATCCATATTGAAGGCTGCAATCCTTGTCCTTCTGCAGCAAGCGCTTCAGGGCCTCCTCAGTTTCAGCGAGCAGGGTTGTGTCATCTGCATAACGCAGGTTGTTGACAATTCTTCTGCCAATCCTGATGCCACATTCCACCTCATACAGCCCAGAGTCTCAGATGACCTGTTCTGCATACAGACTGAAAAGGTATGGAGACAAAATACATTCCTGAAGGACCCCCTTCTTGATTTTGAACCATGTAGTGTCTCCCTGCTCTGTTCTGATGACTGCCTCTTGGTCCAAGTACAAGTTTCGCATTAGCACAATCAAATATTCTCGGATTCCCATTCTTCTCAGAGTCAGCCATAGCTTGCTGTGATCCACACAGTCAAAAGCCTTTGCATAGTCAATGAAACACAGATGACATTCTTCCGGTATTCTCTGCTTTCTGCCAAGATCCATCTAACATTAGCTGTAATATCCACCTCTTCTAAATCCAGCCTGCACATCTGGAAGTTCTCTGTTGACATATTGTTCCAAATGTTTTTGGATAATCTTCAGCAGAATCTTGCTTGCATGTGATATTAATGATACTGTTCGATAATTTCCACACTCTGTTGGGTCACCTTTCTTTGGAATGGGAACAAATATCAATCTTTTCCAGTCAGTTGGCCAGCTGTCTGTCCTCCAGATTTCTTGGCATAACTTAGTGAGCACATCCAGGGCAGCGTCTGTTTGTTGAAATAAATCAATTGGTATGGTGTCAACTCCTGGAGCCTGTTTTTTGCCAATTCCTTCAGAGCAACTTGAACTTCTTCCTTCATCACTATAGGCTCTTGCTTATATGTTATTTCATGAAATTCCTCTTTGTCAGCCAAAAAAATGTGTAAATACACCGTAAATATAAAAGAAGTGGCTCAGTGATAACGGGTTTGACTAGTCACGTGCTTTTCATTAACCCTGTCTACCAATGACATAGACTGCCAGGGAACACACATGTCTGTCCTGAGGAGGGTGAAACCTACTGCATCTCAGAGACAAGGATTTTGAAACTCTGTCTCACATACTCTGGGCACCTTGTCAGGAAGGATCAGTCCTTGTTGGAGCAGGACATCATGATTGAAAGTGTGAGGGTCAGTACAGAAGAGGAAGCCACTGGATGAGAAGGATGGACACAGTGACTACAGCAAGGTGGTCAAGTGTTGGAATGGTGAAGCAGGTCCAGGATATGGCAGGGTTCAGAGCCACTGTTTATAGAATTGCTACGAGTCATGGTTGACTCAACAGCACATAACAACAACCAATGATAGAGTTATACTTAAATAATAATGATGTAGAGTTACAGAAAAACACAGGCAGACTTTAAGGTAGTCCATAAGCCTGAAAATTTATCTGAAATAATCAGATCACCTCTTTCTTGCTTTTTTCCTTCTTTTGTTTTAAGGTATCTATTGATTGACCTAATGTTGTATAAATGTTCTTTAATCTATCATAATAATCCTATGATGAGTATTGTTATATCCCTTTCCTAACTTTTTTCCATTTACAACAATAAAAGCCAAAGTAAAATAATAATTTGACCAAGATCATAAGTCTGCAAATAGGTAGGTGATACTTTAACCCAAGTTTGTCCAACTGTAATAGCTATGTTTATTCCTCAACTTCATCATATTAATTGCACAGCTTGTCAAATTAAATTTTGGAAATTAATACTATCTTGAAAACCAGATGAGACATTCACAGTATAGTGACAACTTACCTTCCCCACGCTGCTTGCTTCTGAAGACAACCCCATGGGCTCACTTCCATAGCAAAACTCACAGTATCACTATAGCCTAGGGTTGATTTTTTAAACCTGTATTTAATGATATACATAGCAAATATTAAAATGGAACTTCAAAGAAGTCCTTGAAAAGGACAGTAAGCAAATAATAATGATTGAATGTAAGGATACTGAAGGACAAAGGACTTTTTAAAATATATATATATATATATATACACACACACACACACATACACACACCTTTCTAAAGTATGTATCATAAAAATCTTAAATTGTGTTATCTGGGTTTTTTCCTGCCAAAACTCATGTATCTATAATCTTCATGGAGCTCTGGTGACTAAGTGGCAAGGAGTTGTAGTGCAAACCCAAGGGTACATAGCTCAAATCCTTCAGCTATTTCACAGGAGAAAGATGGGCAATGACAGTCTCTAAAAACTCACCGGAGGGTCAGCTTTGATTAGGTTATGACTTGATGGTACACAACAATAACAACCACACAGACCTCATAAAATCTAATCTAGTGTCTGGGACACATTGATTTAAAGATTTCAGTTACCTGAAAGAACAAGTTACATGCTCACATTTAAATTATTCAGTTTGTAGAAGAGCATGATAAAATATTGTTATTTTCTCTGTAAAAGTCTTTACAAAAGGCTGTCAGATAAACTACACCATTTAACACTCTAAACAGTTGCATGAAATAGGTATTATTTCCCCATTTGCTCTATTTTTTCTCCAAGTATATATTATTTTTTAGAGGAAACAAATGAGTTGTACAAAGTTTTAATAATATTTTTTTTTAAAATCAAGATTAGTACTGATCTACTAGAATAGGCAGTATCCTACACATAAAGTTAATCCGTTGTACAGCTTTGACAAGGACTGTGTAATTTATCCAAGATTAACTCCCTTGTTTTTTCACTTATAAGAGACTGAAGCCCAGAATGGTAAGCAACTTTGTTCAGGATCCAGATGTCTGAATCTTCTGATTTCTATTCTAGAATTTGGGGATTTCCCCCATATTATAGCTCATAAAGCAAGTAAATCTTGTTCATTTTGTCTTGCTGCCAAGTCTATTAAATTATGTTTTAATACTTTGAAAGCAGAATCTCTCAGAGGCCTGTACTTTGAACCATTAAAACCTCACAGAGTGGGAAAGGAGCAATGTCCTGTTAAATGAGTAGAGACCATTTGGTGAGGGAACTGTAGGGCAATAGAATGTGTACAGCTGTGCTGTGCAGGTGGTTTTTAGCCCTGTGATTTTTCCTATCATAGCTCTTTATTGAGCTGATAAATCAAAGACTCACAAAGGGACTCATACTTGTTAAAATTGAGACAATAATAATTGTCTCCTGAATATTAAAATAATCTAGTCTTTCCCTCAGAAAAGTATCTTTTGTGACTTCATTTTCTTCATACCTAGTTACTAATAAATACAAAGGAATCTCAGTTAACATGGAAAATGAAAGTTGTTCAGTCCAAAATACTAAGAATAAGATTTTTTCTGGGTTTAAACATTCTTAATTTTAAAAATTTGAACTCTTAAAAAAAAATTGAACTCTTTAGTCAGGGTGGTGATAATCTAAATTGTAATACTGTGTTGGAAGATTAGTGTATATATATTTCCGTATTTTTATAAATGGTAATTTAGATTAAGTATTTTTTGCTTACGTCACTAACTGATCATAGAGTATAATCATAAAAATAAATAAGCTTTCTTTGGTAGATTTTGAAAACATTTGCACTAAGTATCAAAGGATAATTTGTGGTACTTTTATGTTCTATTATTTTAGTTATCATAAATGAAAAAAGTTAAGATACATGGCTGATAGATAATAATTACTGTATAAGTAAATCATGGTACAGATGAAGAAATAATAATAATAATAATATTTTATTTTCTATCAGCCCATACATCAAAATACTATTACGTACTATTAAACTATTAGTACATTATGTACTAATAAAAAAAAGTCAGCCTGCTGCCAGTTCTCCCATGTATCTTTTTAAATTTTTTTCATTTATGATATCTAAAATAATCCATTTTACTATTAAGACCATGTCTTGAAAAGAAGTAGATTCTGACTAGATTTAAATCATATGTAGTATTTTCCTTCTCCACATTTATTATCTTAAGACTTATCTACATAATAAATTACAGAAAACTTAAGGCAACCAAGAAAGCAAACCAACTGACATCAACTCAATTGTTAACTTGTAACAATCCAACAGAACTGAGGGAATCCTGGTAATACAGTCCATAGCATTTTGTGCTACTAACTAAAAAAAAGGCTGAATGTCTCTAATAGTTTGAATTTTCTACTGGCTCCATGGAAGGAAAAAAGTCTCCTCCTGTTAAGATTCACAGCCTTAGAAACCCTATGGAGACTCGCTATGACTCACTGTACAACTCAACGGCAGTGAGGGATAGAGCAGAACTGTCCTGGAAGACTTCTGAGGACATACAGCTTTACAAAGTAGACGGTCTTTTCTTTTTCCCAGGGCACAACTGCTGAGTTCCAACCCAAAATTCTGGTTAGCAGACCAACACGTAACCCACCATGCCACCAGGATGCCTTTCTAATTGCAAAGCAGAGTGGAAATTAGGATTATGTGATGCTTTAAAAGAAATCGCTTTAAAGAAATAGACTTAACAAATCCACATTTACCTCTGACATAGAAAGTGACTGCAACGTACCAATATGTGCATACAATGAACAGAAATAATTCCTATAAACACAAGGCTGATTGGTCCAAGCTGTGGAGAAGAAATTAGAATGCAAGGGTGAAATATTTGAGTTTTATAAAAATTTAATTGCCACAAAAACAGTAAGACAATGAATTACTTACTTTCAGTGATTATTTGTTGAACAAAATGTTTAAAGTTCTTGTCATAAAGAAAATTAACAAATTTAAATAAAAGAAGAATTTTATGCAGTATTTAAGAAAACCACATGGGATTCCATATAATTCAATCAACCTGGCTACATAAACCCATAAAATGTAGTTTACAAACACACAACAAAGTTGAATAGTAACAATATTGCATTTAATGACAGACAGCAAGTCTGTGACTATCAGTATTTCACCACTATAATTATATGCAACCGTAAATAATATCCTAATTACTAAAAATCAAACTAGTCTTGTGGTCAGTCCACTCTTCTAGACATTATTTGTTAGGCACTGAACTGTGCTTGGAAGTAAATATAAAAGTAAAGCAATCAGTCTTTCTATTGTTGTTTTTGTTAGGTGCCATGGAGTCAAATATGACTCTTAGTGACTCTATGAACAAAAGATCTGAACCTGTCCTGTACCATCCTCACATTTCCTGACACACAAGAGCCCATTGCAGTAGTCACCGTGTCAATCCACCTGGTTGAGGGCCTTCCTCTCATTTGCCTCACCTCCACCGTTCCCAACATCATGTATTGATTTTCTTCATTTCAACTGACTTCCAATCTGGGCTCTACCACGACACTACTATAACTATCCTCTTTGTTTAGTGTTCAAAGGGTTTTCCAAAGTTTTTTATTTAGGAAGTAGATCCACACTCTTCCTATTCTGTCTTAATCAGGGAGCTCCACCAAAACCTGTCCACTATGGGTAACTCTTTTGGAATCTGACACACCAGTGAAAAAGGTTTCAGTATCACAGCAACCCCAAGTAATCACAGTATAGCAAATTGACAGACCAAGTTTTGCCCCACTTAAAACAACATTCTAGGCTGGAGGCCTGAGGGCCCAACCAACTTTTACATGCAAAGGCTCACCCCCCAGATCCTGTTTGCCTACAAAAGCTGATTGTAAACAAGATCTGTTACAGTTATTGGGGGCAGATTCATAAGTATTAAGTTTAAACTTATTCTAACATTTAATATGCTAATAGAACTACATGAAACAGATTTACTGGTTTGACAGAGGCTAGTGGGATTCCTGAGACAGAGGCTTTTACACTCTTCAAACATGAAACTGGACCCACCTCGAGTGATCACCCTGCACCTAAACAACAGGCTATAAAGGAAATAATAAATCCTAAGGAATGTATTCCTCAGAGTAATATGAGACGAAAGGGGGCAGCATTTTCCCCAAAAACATAGCTCTGAAGCAGGAAGAAGCAAGAGAGCATAAACAGATACAGAGAACACAGGGAGAAGGCCAGAAGAGTGCTGTCACAGAGGGGAAACTGTAACTGTTAGGAAATGCAATGTTACAGTGGTTGAACACACAGGAACTTGCTCTGTGAATTTTAAATAAAACCACAACTAAAAAAACCAATCAACTTCTAAAAAATTTCAAATATTTACTAAACATTTTCAAATATTTATTTACTAAAACTGCAGTGACTTGATTAACAAGATACATCTAAAATACTGACTGCCAAAGTTTGACAATCAGAAAAATTTAAATTGTCCATATTGTTCCTCTGAATTCCCAATCAGATGTTCTAGATTCTAAGTAAGGGAAGACAAAATAAAGAAACAATAAGAAAAATGGGATTTGAAAGTAAGTTTACAAAAACTTTTCAAGTAAGAAAAGGTCAAATATAATTTCATTATTTTGTAGTGAAGTCTCTCCATTTATGATAGTTTTCTAGAAGTATACTGTAAACATTTGTTTTCAAAGATATTATTAGGCCTTTTTACACTATTCTCTGTTGAAGCGAAAAACTACGTATATTATTGAGTCTGAACACTAACATTTCAAAATAAAAATAAGATTTGTTATAAGTATATTTTTAAGGATGTATTTTCTATAAGTGACTGACAGTCACCAGAACAGTGGGCTTAAGCACAGGGGCGATTTTAAGAATGGGACAAGAGCAGGCAGTTTCATTCTGTATTTAGGGTCACTGTGAGGCAAAGCCAACTTGACAGTACCTAAAACCAACCGTGTATGATGCCAAAAGAACAAGCAGATCTGTCTCAGAGAAAGTGTAGCCAGATTGCTCCCTGAAGGCAAGGATGGCCAAGCTTTGTCTCACACACTTCGGTCATGTTGCTAGGACAGGCTAATTTTTTGAGCATAACATGATTGGAAAAGTAAGGGGACGATAAAAGAGAAGAAGAACCTCAACCAGGAGGACTGACACAATGACAATGGGCTTGAGTACGTCAGAGATTGTGAAGTTGGCACAAGATGGGACAGGATTCAGATCTGTTTTTGGTAAGGTCACTATGAGTTATACTCAACTCAATGGCACCTAACAACACAGCCCACAGCTCTGGTAGCCTAGTGGTAAGGAGTTACACTGCCAACCGAAGGCAAACAGTTTCTAGCTGCTCCCTGACAGAAACATAGGTAATCTCTTCCTGTGTGATTTACTGTCTCTAAAACCCATGGGAGTGTCAGCTATAAGCCTATTCCAACTAGACAGCACATAACAGTAACACGGTCCATGGGGAAAAGAAGTAGTTCTAGATGCCTATTATGTAAGGAGTTGCACTGCAAACTCAAATGTCACATCTCTTTGGTGGTTAGAATCTACCAGGAGCTCTCAGAGAAAAAGATGAGTAGTCTCATTCCATTTAATTTTTAGCCTTGGAAAACCAATGGAGTGTCAGTTATGAGTTAGTTTCAACTCCCAACAATGAGAGTGAAATGGCACAACCACCCACCTGCCCCAGAGAAGAATCTGCTGGAAGGAGCTAGAAAGGCCTAGTATGTGATCCCATTAAGAATGCAGTCAAAGACATCCTATGGAGTAAGTCCTACTCTATAATGCGTGAAGTCATGAAGAAGTCAACCAGATAGCAAAAGGTTTGACATGATCTTGGCCAGAAGTGTATTGGTAAAATTAGTATATTGCTTAAGTCTCTGAAAATCTAAAATAAAAAGATATTAACCATGTGTGAGCAAATCAAATTCTATTTCAATTTTTTTTTGTCAAAATGTATTACAAATCAGTATTTTAGCAGACACAGAGTAATTCTCATTTTTCCTGGACATTACTATCATAATTTGTGCAGTTTTAAAATAAGACAGGTCAATGATTTTTTAGTTGTCAACTGATCAAGCTTTACACTGACCAAACATCTAAAGCTAGAACAGATGTCAGCCCGTAGGGAAATGTTTGCAGACTGCTAACTACACCTTGACTAGAGATTGATTACAAGATAAGTCTTACCACTATGCCTGCATTTTTTATTGCCAATGGAAGTCCTAAAAGTCCAGTTCCAATATTTCCTTTAAGGAGATGCATAAGAGTCTGCATAAATCTGAAAAATAAAAGTTAAAAAATATTTCAATGTTTTTGAATCTATTAATCATATGACTATGGTGTTAACACTAAAAGGCAACTGAAAAACTCATTTAGGCAAGCAATCACATTAACATTTCCATTCAGCCATTAGATTGGAAGCGCCAATTCTGCCCCTTAATTGTAGGATACAGAGGATTAGTGTGGAGATTTAAAAGTGTTTAAACATAGTAAATTAGTAAAAACAAAGTCATTCATAACTAAGATATGTAAATTACTCTATAATGAAGGTACTAAGCATATTTGATCTATGATTATCAATCTTAGATGAAATTAAACAATAAAAAAACTTTAAAACTTTCATGTATCATTTGGTAAAATGTTAATTTTTTAAAATTCTCTACTAGTTTATTTACAAAATTCAAATACATTGTTTTCAAGAACAAATTCTTTCAATTTCTCTCACCCTCCCAGCCATCAAATTGTACAACCCCACATCCCTCTGCTGTCAACCTCTCCTACTCCTCTTGGATCCTTATACTCATTCTACTATAATGGTTTTATATGATATTTATCCTTGTAGGACCAAGTTAGATCACTCAGCATAATAATTTGCAGTCCCTACAAAGTTAGGTAATAATTTACAAAATAATTGCTCCTGTATGCTGCACAGTATTCCACTGTGTGAACATACTATAATTTCTCAATACATTCATTTGTAGTTGGACATTTGGGCTATTTCCATATTCTTGTGATAGTAAATAATGCTGCTATGGACACTGGTGTACAAATCTCAGTTTATGCCTCAGTTCTCATTTTCTCCGGGTATATTCCAAGTAGCGGAACAGCTGGATCGCTAATTAATTTGTTACAACATGATCTTCCTAAGAGATTTGATCTACATTTCCAAGAGGCATTGGAAAGTGATCTCTTGACCAAGAATACTGCAGCCTTTCAAGTTATGACACAAAAGTGCTTGCATAAAATTTATTTTTTGTGTGTGTATGTGTGTGTGTGTGTGTGTGTATATGTATGTTGTTGTTATGTGCCGTCAATATATAGTTATAATGAATTAAACTAAGCAACAGTTTTAATCACCAGCTTATTATTAGATTAAAATGCATTCAAGCCTATTAATCATAAAAAAAGTGGAGATTTTTAAAAGTTATACTACTTACTTACATGACTTCTTTTCACATTATGCTCTCAGCCCAAAGAACTATTTACTGCTTCCCACTGTCTAAATTTAAACCACTTTAAAAAAATCACTTAATATTCTTATTCCACTCAATCAGATTTCCCTTCTTTCAAGAGTCACACCATTTGCTTTTTTAAAACACTGTAGTAATTCTACATACTGCTCTGTAACTTAAACATTTTAAGTACTTGTTCTTGAATGCTGAACAGATAAACTCCTTGAAAGCAGAGACTAGGTCATACTCATCTTTGTAATGTCTGTTGTTCCTAGTAAAGTACATCTCCTTATACATATGTCTTAAAAAAATAGGTAAAAAGAGAGGCACACTCTAATACTTACGAAATGCCCTGCTGGTCATCAAGTTGGTAATGCTTCTGAACAGGAAGGAGCTCCTGTTCATGTTCTTCGTCTGACGTGCCATCAAAATTCTGCTCATTTATCAAAGGTCTCATTACCTCCATATCTTTAAAAAGAAAACAAAACAAAAAAAAAAGTAAGTACTTAGGACAGTTTTTAAAAATTGGGATAAAGGTGGTGTAATTTAGATGCATTACAAATATCTCCTATCTTTACTACTTCTATCTTAAATTAATGCACATTAATAACTTTCAGTATACTTGAAAAAGAAATAAGCAGACTTGTCTATTGCCTAGTCTGTGTGTACTAACAAATGCAAAGCAAAAAGCTATGCGAAAGTTGTTCTCCTTTGCCTTATTTGTAGTTACCTCATTAAGTTTGAAATTTGTAGTACTGGTTTCTAGTTGTTGTTAAGTGCCTTCAAGTCAAAACCAACCCATGCAACCCTATGAACAGAACTGAACCCTGTTCTATCCTATGGCATCCTCACACTTCCTGACACAACAGAGCCCACTGCAGCAGTCACTTTGTCAATCCACCTGGTCTTCTTCTCCTTTGCTGATCTTTTGCCTTTCCAAGCATGATGTTTCTCTCCAAGGAATAGGCCCTCTATCCAAAGTATGTGAGGTGAAGCTTTATCATCTTTGCCTCCAAGGAGCACTCTGGCTACACTTTATCCAAGATATCTGTTCTTTTGGTAGTCCATGGAATATTCAGTACTCTTCTCCAAAACCACAGCTCAAAGGCATCAATTCTTCTTCTGTCATCTTTATTCACTGTTCAGCTCTCAGATGCAAAGCAAGTGATCAGAAAGACCACAGCCTGAATGAGATGTACCCTAGTCCCCAAACTGACATCAATGCTCCTCAATAATTTGGAAAGATCCCTGACTTCATACTTTCCCAGTAAAATATGTCTCCTGATTTCCTGACTGCTAGTACCAAGAATGATGATTATGGTTCCAAGTATGATGAAGCTATTTAGTTTCAATCTTTCCTCCATCTATCATGTTGTTGCGTATTGTGGTCCAGAGGTAAGAATTTTTGTTTTCTTGACATTCAGATGCAATACTGAAGACTGTATTTTTTGATCTCCTGCAACAAATGTTTCAAGTCCTTGCTTTCAGCAAGCAAGGTTGTAGCATCTGCATAACACAGGTTATTGATGCATCTTCCTCCAATTTTGATGCCACATTCTTCATAGAGTCCAGCTTCTTGAATAATCTGTTCAGCATTCAGATTAAATAGGAATGGAGAGAGAATACAGTCCTGTTCCTTTGTTCTGTTCACACAACAGCCTTTTGGTCTAGGTATAGGTTTCCCATGAGCATAATTAAGTACCCTGGGATTCCCATTTTTCTCAGTATTAACCGTAACTTGTTATAATCCACACAGTCAAATGCCTTTTGCAACTTTCACCTATTTTGTCTGAAATCCTTTCTCTCAATGCTATGTAGTCTTAGAAAAGTTAACAATCTGTAAAAAATAGCTTTCCTTGCTTCACTTTGCCACATTTCTCACCTTAAAACCTTAAAAAAAAATAACATTCCAGAAGCTTTTCTAATTAACCCTCAATTGAATTGTGGTGCTGGGTAACAGTACTTAACATACCATGAAGTGCCAAAAAAACTAACAGGTCTGTCCTGGAAAGGGTGAAACCAAGCTGCTCGTTGGAGTCAAGGATTCCGAGGCTCTGTCTCATACATATTGGGCCTGTAGCCAGGAGGGAGCAGTCCTTGAAGAAGGACAACAAGCTTAAAGAGGTCAAGGGACAGAACTGGAGAGGAAGACCCTGGATGAGGTGGACTGACACAATCAATGGGTAATAAGGCCCAGAATAAAACAGATTGGTAAAAGAGATACTTAAAAACTCAGCAGAATAAAGACTTTTTCAGCGTAAAGAGTATGTGGAATAAAATACGAACCATCATCTAAAAATAAAATGTTGTTGTTATGTGCCATCGAGTTGCCTGCGACTCATAGCGACCCTATGTACAATAGTCTTAAACTCTGCTTTGTCCTGTGCCAATTGCACTATCTCTGACACTCCCATCCCGATTACCCCAGTCACTGAATCAATCCACCTCATACAGGGCCTTCCCTTCCTGCGCTGTCCTTCCATCCTCCCAAGCATGATGTCCCTCTCCAAGGATCAATCCCTCCTTACAACATGTCCAAAGTATGTTAGACAAAGCCTCAGAATCCTTGCCTCCAAGGAGCCGCCTGGTTTAACCCTTTCCAGGATGAATCTGTGTGTTTTCCTAGCAGTCCATGGTACCCTCAATACTCTTCTCCAGCACCATAGTTCAAAGGCATCAATTCTCCTTCTATCCTCCTCAGTCATTGTACAAAACTCTGATGCATAACAAGTGATTGCAAAGACCATGGCCTGTATCAGATGCACCTTAAGTCTCCAGAGAGACACCATTGCTCTTCAGTACTTTGGAGAGGTCCCTAACAGCAGACTTTCCCATCATAATAGGTCTTTTAATTTCCTGGCCACTGGTGCCGAATGCTGACTGTGGAGCCAAGCAAACTAAAGTTGTGAACAATCTCAATCTCTTCACCATCCATCCTGATGCTGCCAATTGGTCCAGTGCTGAGAATCTTTGTCTTCTTGACATAGAGCCTCAATTCATATTGAAGGCTGCAGTCCTTGACCCTCTGCAGCAAGTGCTTCAGATCCTCCTCAGTTTCAGCAATCAGGGTTGTGCCATGTGCATAATGCTGACTGTTGATAGATCTTCCACCAATCCTAACACCAAATTTCTCCTCATAGAGCCCAGCCTCCTGGATAATCTGTTCTGCATACAGGTTGAAAATGTATGGAGAGAGGACACATCCCTTCCCAATTTTGAACCATGCAGTGTTTCCTTGCTCTGTTGTAATGACTGCCTCTTGGTCCAAGTTTATGTTTCGCATTAGCACAATCCAGTGTTCTGGGATTCCCTTTCTTCTCAGAGTCAGCCACAGTTTGTTATGATCCACACAGTCAAACGCCTTTGCATAGTCGATGAAACACAGATATACATTTCTCTGGTATTCCCTGCTTTCAGCTAAGATCCATCAAACATTCTGGCAGTTCTCTGCTGATGTGCTATTTTACAATATACTAATACTACACAAAACCTTTTTTTTTTTTTAGTGTCTTATTGTCATTTTGATCCAAGTGCTGTGATTATTATTGTTGCTAGACGCTACTAAGTCCATTTCTATTGTAGCAAACCCATATGACAGCATATAGCTGCCTCACTGGATTTTCTAGGCAGTAATCTCCAGGGTTGGAAGGAGGAGTGGCATCCACTTCTATAATAACTTGCCTCTGGAAACCCTATGAACCTGGAGAGAGGATGAAAGGCACTCAAGCGTCGAGGACTCTCCTTCATAGGGTCACTTATGAGTCGCCTGCGACTCGATGGCACTTAACAACAAACAACAACAAATCTCTAGGGAGCTCTGGAGGGCCAGCTGAGTCAGTTCCAATTTGATGGTACATAACAACAATCTTTACAGGAGAAAGAGCCCTCCTGGAAGGTGGCTTTGAAAAATCCTCCAGCAGCCAATATTCCCAGGCAATCTCCCATCTAATCAGGCCTGATCTTCAGTATGGATTATATTTCAACAACAAGAAAAGGAAAATTTTCACCGTCGGTCAGTAGATAACATCACAAAAGATGAAAAAAAGGTTGATCTTTTCAATGATTTCATCTTACACCCACTCTTCTTGTTATTATAGCAGTTCAGAAATCCAAAGACGTGTCACATTGGGAAAATCTGACATCAGGGACCTCTCCAAAGTGCTAAAGAGCAAAGACGTCAATTTAAAGACTAAGGTGTATTTGATCCAAGCCACAGTATTTTTTATAACTTGCTGTTTATATAAAAGTTAGACAATGACTAAAGATGGCAAAAGAACCTTTAAACTGTGGAGAAGAGTACTGAATATCCCATGGACTGCCAAAAGAACAAACAAGTGTTATCTCCAAAAAAGTGCGGCCAAGATCCTCCTTGGAAGTATGGATGGTAAGGATTCATCTCATATACCTTAGGCATGATGTTTGGAGTCGTCAGTCCTTAAAAGAAGGACATCATGCGTGGAAAGGTCAGCGTAGGAGAAGGAGACCCTCAACAAGATGGACTGACACAGTGATGGTAACAATGGGCTCAAGTGTGTCTGAGATGGTAAGAATGGTTTAAGATAGGGCCAGGTTCAGGTTCATTGTTCACAGGGTTGCTATGAATTGTAGTCAAATGATAGCACCTGACAACAACAATCTTTACAGGAAAGGGGTCTTGGTAGAATATTGCCTAAATTCTGTTTGGCTGGTAACTGAAAGGTTGTCAGTCTGCATCTACCATCCACCCCATTGGAGAAAGAAGGGCAGTCCCCTCCCATAAAGATTTAAAGCCTCAGACATCAATGGAGGATTGCCTGAGTTGGAATCCACTCACTGACAGGGCATTTCTGGTAATCATTAATGAGTGTATTTTGCCAGTCTCTCCAAGAGAACTGCTGGGTCCATCTGGATTGTCTTTCAGGAAGCAGTCAAACTCTGACCACTGTGCCACAAGTGCACTCATCCTATATGATCACTTTAACTCTTACTATTATCGAGTCAGAATCTCTTAGTAGACTTTCAAAGGTTGTAAATTAGGTAGAAGTAGAATGCCCATAGTTAAGCACTGATGATGCCTTATAAAAAACAGTATCAAACAATGGTTCTCAGACTACTTAAAACATAAGCATTTCAATTTACAAGTAGAAAAATTAATCTAAAAATTAGAGATTTACTGGTATGTGCAAATAGCAGTGTTTAAATTAAGCAATGCTTGCATACTCTCTAACCTCAATTATCATAACTAAAATTCCTACCTCCAGGTAAAAAAAGAAAAATGACATTAAAATAGAAACATATTTAAAGTCTTTCACTTAGCAGACTAACTAGTCTATGGAGAAATAGTCTCTGACCACACACATGAACTGAAAACATTGTGTATGCTAAAAATTTGGAAACACTCTAAATGTGCAACAATCAGGAAATGAGCCTACTAAATACGGCATATTCCATTTATCAATTATAGTTTCAAAGCTGAGAGAAAATGTATCATATGCTGAGTAGGAGTGAAAACTGTATATTCAAAGTATGATTGCAATCATGTTTAAAACATTTACTAGAAATGCAGAACTAAACAGAAATGAAATATGCCTGACATGAAGAAGTTAAAAGGATATAACTGGACAGTGAAATCCTAAGTATCTTTAAGCGTCTGTGAAAATGCAATTAAAAAGTGAATAAAAAACTTTTATAACTTACAATAGCAATATTTTAAAAATCACATTTTGTTCAGTTTTTTTTTTTTCAAAAAAAGCAGAAATTGTTTGGTTTTTAAATAGCATAATGTTGACAACTTTATCTAAATCTATAATTCACCACTTAGACATGAGATGCCAAGAGTTAACTATTCATTTTTGGGTCTGAGAAAATAACAAGACCTCAACAGGTTCCCACTTATTAAAAAAGTGTTCATAAGCTAATTTACAGTTTAAGAGAATCAATATCTTAACCTCTCCATCATTAATCACTTTTCACCTGCCTTCAAGGCATTTCTGACTCCTAGCAATACTATGACAGAGGAGAACTCACAAACAGCACAAGCAGCTATGGCTAACTCTGAAAAGAATGGGAATTCCAGAACATTTGATTATGCTAATGCGAAACCTATACCTATACTTGGATCAAGAGGCAGTCGTCAGAACAGAACAAGGAGACATCTTCCCATACACTGTACCCAACACTTAACTAACCAATTTCCTGTAAATGAGCTTTTAACTAGCAACTTTTCTATAAATACACCTTGTATGCACGCAACCAATAAATTTTTTTAAAAAGAAATAATAAAAAAACCTCAAAATAAATGCTGTCATGATCATATCTTGATATAAACAATTGTTTATATGATTTATTTCCTTGAGAATTATTTCTAAAAGTAGAGTTGCTGGGTCAAAGGAGATAGGTATAAAACAAAAATAAATAGACCTTATATAAATATATAGAAAGAGCTGGTGGGCTAGTGGTAAGAAGCTGGATTACAATCTCCAAGGCAAGTGGTTCAAATCTACCAGTTGCTCCACAGGAAAAGGGTGGACAAACTCCTCTCTTACAATTTACCGCCTCTGAAAACTCACAGGAGCTATGAGTCAGTTCTGACTCAAGAGCATACAAAAACATGCAGATATATATTATTTAAATATTTATTTAAAATAAACATATTATTCTGCTCCTACCAGCAACACTTGGTAACACTTTTATCCCGTATACTTCCTAAGTTGTTAACTGCCACTGAACCGGAACTGATTCAAAGCATACCCTCCAGTGGGTTTCAGAGGCTGTAAATCCCACAGGCAGAGACAGCCCACCTTTCTCCCATGGGGCTGCTGCTGGTAGATTCAAACCTCCTGTCTTCGGGTTGGCAGTTCAAGTCCTTCCCCTCCAGGCCATCAGAGTTCCCTTAGCTCCTAAGAAAGGGTACTAATGAATTAACAACTGAGTCACACAAAAATGTGTTCACACCTGGCTCTGCCACTACTGAGCTTACAACTACTATATCAATAAAATGGGGATAATAATAGCACACAACTCATAGGAATGTTGGAAGTAAATTAGACAATATATATGTAAAGCACTGAGCACACTGTTTAACATGTTGTTGCTGTGTGCGATTGAGTCACCTGTGACTCATAACGACCCTATATACATTAGCTCTGAACTCTACCCTATCCTGAGCCAATCTCAACTGTCTGACAGAAGGACCTAAGCCTATCTCTCCAGTCACTGAGTCTATCCATCTCATCTCGGGTCTCTGTCTGCTTCATTGTCCCTCCACCCTCCCAAGGATGATGTCCTTCTCAAGGACTGGTCCCTCTTGGCCATGTGCCTAAAGAGTGAGACAAAAAAAAAAAAAAAAAAGAGTGAGACAGAGTTTCAAAATCCTTCCCTCTAGGGAGCGGCTTGGTTTCATCCTCTCTAGGACAGACCGGTTAGTTCTCTTGGAAGTCCACGGTTATGTTTAAAACTCTTCTCCAGAACCACAACTCAAAGGCATTGATTCTTCTGTTATTCTTAGTTACTGTCCAGCTCTCTGATGCATAGCATGTAACTGTGAAGACCATGTCTTGGATGAGGCATATCTTAGTCTCCACACTGACAATGCTCCTCTTCAGTACTCTAGAGAGGTGTCCTGACAGCAGACTTTCTCAATTCATCTTTTGATTTCCGGACTGCTGGTGCTAAGACTGCTGATTGTGGAATCAAGCAAGCTAAAGTTGTTAACAATCTCAATCTCTTCTCTGTCCATTATGAAGCTGACAACTGGCCAAATGGTGAGAATCTTTGTTTTCTTGATGTTGAAGACTACACTCCTTGATCTTCTACAACAAATGTCAAAGTTTATTATTTTTATCATTACTGTGACTTGGAAAGAAAAAATAAACTACAAAAGACCCTGCATAATATTACAGGAACTCCAGCCTACTAGTTATTTACACGGATTGTATTTAAAAGAATCTCTTTCTCAAAAAAAAAAAAAAAAAAAAAAAGAATCTCTCTTTCTCAATAATTATAACATTTAACATCAACGAAAATAATTTCTAAGCCCAGTGTCTAACACTGGACAAGGATAATTTCATTGCCCTGATCCTTACTTATGTCTTCCTCTTTACAGAGGGAAATAATTTACAAACTTTCTCCAGTGTCAAAAAAGCGGAGAAGACAAACTTTGTCAAGTGAGGTATCTCTTGCTCGGGCTGGTCAAGGCGTCCTGCTTCTCACACTTCGGGTAAACTGAGGATTCATCTGGGCACTCAAGGGGGTTTCCGCGTTTGAAAGGGAAAACAAAGGCAACTTCTTTAAGCATCAGTGGGGAGGTCAAGGTGCAAAGGCTCGCTAGCCTTTGGCATGGCCACACAACACACAGCAGACACACGCACTCTGATGTCCTCTGCAGCCTCCCTTGTTTTCCACCCCTACCAGGTTCTCAGGGCACACAGCCAGTTCCTGGTGGACGCTGACCCCAGGGAAGTTGGTCAGCGAGCGCCAAAGCTCATCCTACAGGGTTTGGGGAGGATGGCTCCCTGGGTTTGAAACTCAAACTCGTGCCAGGCTCACAGAGGAAAGGAAGAGAAACCGCAGCGCGGCCATCCTGGTGGACGGAGCAGGAACTTGACCGGCGGTCGGCGTGGCGCGGGGCCCGCCGCCCGCATCCGCCTCCCCAGCGTCGCCCGGCGCTCGGGGCGCATCCCGCGGGAGCTCATCCCCGAAGCCAACGTCGGCGTCGCGCCACAGCCCACACGCCAACACCCACCTAGCTCTTCGCATCCCGGTGCTTCGGCCGCCGCCGGCGCCGCCGCTTCCATCTCTCGGGGGTCTCCAGGACGCCGCTCCGGGGCGCTCGCCTCCCGCGCTGCGTGACCCCTCCCAAGCCGTGCGCCG